TATTTGTTTGAGGAGGCCTCTGTCCATCTGATACAAATTTATTTCCCTGCATCAATTTCCCGTCGCAATTTGCGAACTGACGATCGGAATTTAATTTACTTGTTTTTTGTTTCGATTATTAAATCTTATGCAGGTAGTACCAACATACGTGATTTGAAGCATTCTGTACGATTGTATGAATAACCTTTGTCAGGAATGAGGAGGCAGTTAAATTGAAACGTTATTATTTGATATGTGCATATTTATTCAGTCAAATCTATTTCATGAAGAAAATTGAAATCTAAATATCGATCATCATCCATCCAACGCTCGTAGATGTAAAACCCTGAAGTTGTCAAGCGTTACATAATCGCAATACCAACAAATTTCACTCTTAGGAGCATTCCAAAAATGCTTCTGAACATATAGGGTGTACCATATGTGTATCAGTGTATGTAAGAAATCTAAGGTTCAAAACGCTATATTTGAGAGGAAGATTCCAAAAGAAAAGATCTCGGCCCGTTTTGTGACATTTTCCAAAAGTTATTAGCGCATTCTGTATGCCGAATATTTTATTATTATCATTCAATCAATTAGAGTCGCAGCAAAATATCTCTTATTCCCTCCAGTGCAGGTATCGACCAATCATCAATGGATTTTTTATTTGACATAAATGCGCATTGACGTTCTGCATCTATACAGAGTATTAAGTACTGTCAAGGGACGCCAGCCGATGGCCCACAGAGTGTGCTCGCCATCAATGTCTTTAATCAATATTAGTCATCGACGAAAGAAGGCCTAACGATAAGAGATCCCTTGAAGTATCCATTAAAGTAGTTAGAGCGCTTAGGTAAAAGTAACAAGAAGTTGGTGAAAATTTGGTCACTTATTCTCTGAGAGACGCACTTTCTAATGGTCAAAAGAAAAAAGTGTTCCTATGTGCCGTTTCTGAGATATTTGATAGTAAAAACAGGGTATTTTAACATGGGCTCTTATGGACAGACTCAGTCTTTCTGAGCTAGCGAAGGTTTTTGTATCAAGACTTAAATGAGATGGGTCTCATTAGAAGCGACATTTTGTGACGAATCTAAATATGCACGGAAAAGTACATATTCATGATGAAATAAGGAAGATAATTACCGCCGGAGCGGCGTCTGCTCTGACGCGGCGGCACGCTATGCAGCACGCGTTTAAATCTGATGACTTTTCCACTAGGTCTAGTATATAGCTGAGCTAGGACAATCTTTTCCTTCTTCTGCTGAGCACTTTTCTTCACAAAAGGCATGGTGTCTTTCAGAAAGAACACCAAAACCAGCGATATTTATAAAGGCCTGCACACGTCTTGTTGACACACTGATCGGATCGAGATCAAGGTAGCGGCTGGGGATCTCTGGCGCCAACATCGAAAAACCAAATCCACTACACAGACTTCACGTAAAACGCCAAATTATGTAGTGTCGTCAACATTTTAGTGGGCAAAGGTTTGAAACAGGATCGAAAAGTAGGGAGACTAGTCAAGTTGACTACTGTATATACCTTTTTAAAAATCATGTAAGACCTTTGCATTGTCCTGAGGTACAAAATACCACTCATACCGTATTTCTAATTATGTTCCCTTCATAACAACATTTTTTTGGGGACGTTTACCGTAAGTAATAGGTAGGCCGAGTACATCACTTGATTTCAGCCGAACGCGCTCTAACTACTTTAAAACGTTCAATTTTTGGGGACACCGGATGTGCATTTCTTAACTCCAGTGAGCGTTCATTTCGCATGTTTATTCATTCATTGGAAAAGTGAGTATTTCGGTTTCCCTCTTTTGATTCCTCAAGCACATTTAACTCAGTTTATATTGGTGTATATCTATGGTCATGCATATGCAAAATTAGAAATTACTATTGAATAAGTATTTCAATAAAATTACTTAATGTATACTCAGTGACATGGAAATTGCAACACCAAGAAGGAGTTGGAATTTTTTGACCAAACTTGGCAGAAACGTTTAACTACTAAAAGGTAACAATTGATTAAAATTTCATTCATATGGATCAAGTGGTAATGGCTTATTTGACAGTTCTTTCATTTTTTTCTAGTATTCTTATATCGTGTACGTTTTGCGAGATTTTGTTCAGTTCTTATTGTTTTCGCTTTTAATCGTTTCTTTTGAGGCTGTGATCATGCCTAGATACGCCAAAGTGGAAATTACTGCGAATTAAGAGTAGTTGACAGGTGTCGTATTGTTGGTTTGGGCGGAGGTGGATTTTCGTTCACAAAAATTGCAAGTCACCTTAACCGAAGTCAATCCACCATGATTCGTTGCAATCGGGCATGGATTTGGGAAGGGGCAGGATCGTCGTAGAGAGGAAAGGGAGGGGGCAGGAAAGGGTGGGGGGCGAAAAAGAACAATTGAAGTGCGGGATCGCCATCTGGCAACAAGAAACCGATTCTCTAGTACCAGGTCAATTGCCGATCAATTGTTAGCTAACGAAGGTCGTCCTGTAACACTTCGAACGGTTTACCGCAGAATCAGAGCTTACGACTTGCAATCCTATCGGCCACATCTTTTGTTACCATTAACAGCTCAACACCGCCAGCAGCGTTTGGAGTGGTGTAGGTTGCGACTGCACTGGAACCTAGAGTAGCATTGGGTGGTGTTCAGTGATGAATCCCGATTTTGTTTGGGTATGCATGAAGCATGATGGCCGTATGAAGGGCAGCCGAAGACGTGGGGAACGTCGCAATGTTGAATTTTCTGTTATGAGGCATGTGCACTAAGCTGTGGGGACTATGGTATGGAGTACTATAGCTTATGGGAGTAGGGCTCGTTTGTTATTCATTCGAGGTAATATGACCCCCCCCAGCGATATGTGGATGACGTGATAGAACCCGATATTCTTCCATCTCTTCAGCAGTTGGAAGACTCACTTTTCCAGCAGGATAATGCCCCTCCCCACATTGAAAGACGTTCTATGGACTTATTTGCACATGATAATGTCAATTTCTTGCCATAGCCACCCAGATCTCCCAGTATATTGCCTATCGAGCAAGTTTGGGACATTATGAAGAAAAGACTGATGAACTTACCGCATCCTCCGCAGACGCTGCAAGCTCTACACAATGAATTAGAGGTTACTCACAGTTGCTTGGGACACAATACCTCAAGAGGAAATCGGCCGTCTGCTAAAATCGATGCTACGAAGCGTGAGGGAGTGCGTAACCAATAGGGAGGGACTACTATTATTATTAATAAAAATATGTTTATATTTCATCCTTTTTCTTTTAAATTTTAATCAATTGTTACCTTTTAGTAGCTAAACGTTTCTGCCAAGTTTGGTCAAAAAATTCCAACTCCTTCTTGGTGTTGCAATTTCCATGTCACTGAGTATAATTACCGAGCTTTGTTTGTCAGCATTTGAATTGTAATTATTTCTTTAACCATCGTCACAAATTGGGATTTTCAGTAGTCTGTCCAAACATGTAGCGATGCTCTACAGTACAATTTATCTTCATTTAAAGACGTGCTGACGAGGAGGGCTTGGTGATTTCCTCAATTAAGTACTATGTCTCCGTTTAGTTATGCATTTTATATTGGTTTTTAACATGCATTGCTTAAACCGATCGTATTCCAACCTGGTTGATTTATTTAAAGTATATATTTGCAAAACTAATTTCCATCGCTAGACCTATGAGCGCAAACTTCATGGTATACCTATTATATGTATACTGCAAAAGGAATTAAAGTGGATTCACATCATCGTTAGTTCAAATGGGAAAAAAAATGGGGAATATCAGAAAAAAACTAGGAAACTAAAAAGAAAATCTCACAAAATCCGATCTAATGAATGGCCCCTCTTGCTCTCGACGTATTTCTCTACTCATTTATTCCCGAACCGTATTTTTTTTCGTTTAATTGTGCATTTTCCGAAGCTTTACCAGCTTTATTGATTAAGACGATGTGAAAGGTTTCATTCTTTTTGTCAATTGCCGGTGTTATTTATTTTCTAAAAGGTTAATGAGATTTTTTATAAAGTATGTCTATGTTATTTCATTTTGCCTTTATGACTTTCCTTTTATTTCGAAATACAGAATATGATCTATATGATTTTGTAGCCGTTGCTTTAAACACAGCTACAGCTGGACTCTTCAGAGACCTTTCATTTTTATCTCTTATAGTTATAACACATCCTTTTATTCAATAATTAAATGTAACATACTCACGGCCACAAAAAAAATAATCCAGGATTATTGTTTGATCCGGTATTAAGACATTTGATTGGCTTATGCAGCCAATCAAATGTCAAAATTCTCGTTTAAACTCAGATTTGGCAAATAAGCTAGGATTTTGATTATAATTCGCTTTCCTGCAATCGGCCGTCAGAGATTGTCGGTTGAATCACCTTCGAATATATCATATTCGAAGGTGATTCAACCGACAATGTCTGACGGCCGATTGCAGGAAAGCGAATTATAATCAAAATCCTAGCTTATTTGCCATTTACACAAAAAATAGACTGACCTGTGGCTGGGAGTATGTAGTCATTGTCCTCGTGTGGGATCGAAGGAACTTCGGTGCATTTTTGTGTGGCGGATCAGTATTCCATTAGCCAGTTTTGAGGCAATTCGAGTTTGAAGTTTTGACTTCACTATCAGTTAGATCTTGTAGGGGTCCCTACCTTTTCTTTGTCGGTACCCACTTCCGACGTCCCGTTCATCCGCAATTCACGTTTGAAGTTTTGACTCTACCGTAAGATCTTGTCGGAGGCAACCACAGTCTCTTTATCGGTACCCACTTCCGACGTCCCGTTCGCTCGCAATTCACGTTTGAAATTTTGACTCCACCATCAGTAAGATCTTGTCGGGGGCAACCATATTCCCATTGTAGGTGCCCATTTCCGATGTCCCGTTCACCCGCAATCGGGTTTGAAGTTTTGACTCCACCACCTGTAAGATCTTGTCAGGGGCGACCACACATGATCCACAACGTATACATGTAAACAACGTCGCTAATTAAAAAAATTATAATAATAATAATAATGGTTTTATTTAGTTAACCCGTCAACTAAAACAAAAAAACAAAAAATTAAAAAATTAACACAATTATAGTATAAAAAGTAAAGGGCAACTAAATTGGGCGATGTTCAGATACAGACGAGGATACGCCTGATCTGCTCTTCCACACTACCCACTCATAACTATATTTAACATATTAATAATGTTGTGCAATGGACTAACAGACAAAAATTTAAAAAAAGAATTAATTTGTGATAACTACTAACTATATGATGTATAATACATTGGTTCATGGTAATATGGAATAACACAGTAAAAAGATGTTATTGCCGCTGCCGGTCAAGTACGATTTTGCGGACGTATTTTTTAAATTGAGATGTGCTAAGTTTTTTACAAGTGTCAGGAAGCGAGTTGTATAGGTTAGCCACTTGGTACGTAAATGATCTTTCAAACAGAGCCGTTTTGTGATAAGGGGGTGTGATTAAATGAATCAATCTGGGATTAGTATTGAATCTAATCTTTTCATATAGATACAAAGGAACTTTTGCATTAATTATTTTGTGGTATAATACTGCAGCATGAACAAATCTCCGATTATCCATATTCAGCCAGTTTAATTCATTAAACTTATGGGAGATGTGTTCATGCTTTCTAATACCATAAATGAGTCGCACGCATGAATTTTGCATTTTCTGAATCTTGGTTCTATCGGAAACCTCCAAACAAGGTCCATAGACACTATCACAATAATTATATTGTGACAGTACTAACGCCTCACAAAGTATAATTTTTGTGGCCCGATTAAGGAGGTGGCGATTATTAAAAATTAATTTTAAACTGAGATAAGCCTTTTTGGTCATTTCCGATGTTTGTGTTTTAAACCTTAAGGCATTGTCGAGTACCTACTACTCCAAGATATTTCAAATCGTCCTTTACTGGAAGTATAGAATCCTTTACTTTTATACGTATAAGGGATTTATACTCATCTCTCACGATCTTCCTGCCAAATAGAATTAATGATGATTTGGTCGCATTAATGCTCAAACCATGCGCCTCAGAAATCCCAACTAGACTTTTAATGTCTTCATTGAAACGTTGAGTTGCTTGTACAATATCTTTTGGGAAGAAGTCAAGGTACAATTGGGTGTCATCGGCATATTGGTGTACTGTGACATGTTTAAGACATTTACAAAAGTATGACGTATAGATAGTAAAAAGCAGAGGACCCAAAATCGACCCTTGAGGTACACCAGCGGAAATGCCGATGGAGTCAGATTTAATCCCATTGAGCACCACTGTCTGAGTTCTGTTATGGAGGTAATCTTTCAGTAAAAGGCACGCATTTACGCTAAATCCGACATGGCTTAGTTGGCTTATTAAAATTTCGTGTATGACAGTATCAAAGGCCCTGGAAAAGTCCAATGAAGCAACCAAGGACAGCTTTCCAACATCATATGCGGACAATACTTCGTCAACTATGTTGAGTAAGGCTGTATTACAACTGTATCCACTTCTGAATCCAGATTGATTTTGGGGCAAGATATTATAATTTAAAATGTGGCGGTTCATTTGCTGCATCAATACCCTCTCCAGGACCTTCGATAACACAGGGAGTATGCTAATCGGGCGCAAATCCTTGTATTCAGCAGGTTCACTCAGTTTCGCTAATGGAATAATGTTTGCTGCTTTCCATATATCAGGGACCGAGTTGGACTTCAAACAGAAGTTTATTATGTATGTAATATAAGGTATCAAATAAGGACAACACAACAGGATCATTTTCAGGCTTATTCCATCCACACCAACCGCTTTGGATTTGAGGTTGTATATTATTTTCATTATTTCAATTTCAGAGACGGCTTGAAATTCAAATAATGTGTGGAAATTATGGTTTGAATTATTTTTATAAAAATCAGTTAGTTCGGCAGTATTTACAGGAGTAGGCTTGGAACAAAATGCTTTGTTAATTTCATTAGGGTTGCATAGATGAGGAGGAATTACCCTATTACTTGGTTTACTGGTGATGTCTAATTTTTTTAATGCACTCCAAATTTGGTGTGGTCTATTGTGGCGAACTTCATATTCTAAGAAGGCCTTTTTTTCTTTTTTAATGGCATAGTTCGTGTAGTTTCGTAATTGTTTATAGTAGTCCCAATGGGTAACCACCTTCGATCTTTTATACCTAGCCAAGGCAGCGTCTCTTAGTAACATCATCTGTTTAATATTATCAGTGAGCCATGGTGACTGCTTTTTTCTTATGCGTACAGTTTTAAGTGGTGCATGTATATCAAAAATATATAGGAGACATTTATTAAAATAGCTGACTATATCATTAATATTGGTAAAAGTATAAATATGATTCCAGTCAAGCGATTCGAGAAGAATATTAAATTCAGATTCAACAATTTTATTTAGATTTCTAGTGGTTAATGTCAAAGGTTTTTGCAGAAGTTTGGTACTTACTGGAAAGTGACAGAATATTAATGCATGATCAGAGACGTGGTGCAAAGAAGTGGTTCCTGAGCGTAAGATTTTTTTCTGAGAGGAGACAATAATGAAATCAATTAAACTTTCAGTGTTGGCCGTGATACGCGTAGGCTCATCAATTATTTGCTTCAATGCAAATGTCTCTAATAGGTTAGCAAATTTAATACTGATTGGATGATCAATTTTTAAAAGGTCCAGGTTAAAATCACCAATACATACCAAATCATCATTTGTGGGGATAATTTGAAGCAAAATGTTTTCAAAGTCATTTAAAAAATCTGAGCTGGAGTAGTTCAACCTCCTATAGATTGTTCCAATAGCCAAACGTGTTTTGTTACATTGAACATCAATCCATATTTGCTCAAAGCTGTCGTAAGACTCCGTATTTATTAGGCATTTATATTGTATAGTGTTTCTAATATATATGCCTACACCACCACCCCAAGTCGTTGTGCCCCTATCTTTGCGTACAAATAGGTAACCAGGTATACTCACTTTGTCATTACTGATTTGAGATGACAACCAGGTTTCGGTCACTCCAACAATATCGTACTCTGCCGACAAAATATGTTGCTTGAGATCCGAAAAGTGAGCTAAAATAGATCGTGTATTTAAATGTGCAATTTTAATGTAATTCGTCATAATCACTTGAGGTATTCATCTATTCAATAAAATGGACCAAATTATATTGACTGAAACAAAAATTGTATTGAACTGAAACAAAAAGTTGAATTAAATCAAAATAAGTATACAATTGGTACAATTGGCAAATAAAAATGCATAAAAAAAAATGTTACATTTATACTATCAATGGCATTGGTGATAATGAAGTTAGTGAACGTCTTTAAAGTCATTGATTGAACGAATAACAAACACTTTCGTATTATCACTTTTGCGCATAAGAAGTTTCCCGTCACGGGTCCAAACATATTTAATGTTATCCTGTTTTGCGAAGGTTCGTGCTTTACCAAATAACACTTTATTCTCACCAGTAAGAGACTCGTTAATATAGATTAAACTGTTAGGATTAACGTTGGAGACGCCCGCAAACAGTTCACCCAAATCTTGCACAGTAACGTGTCTTTTTATTTTTCGACATTTCATAAACTCGTGTTTATCCAGTCTACTAATAAACTTTAAAATTATTGCACGAGGTTCGGAAGGCTTGTTAGGATTTTTTGCTAACCGATGGCATGCATCAATCATATTTTTATTAACAGAAAAACCGACAGATTTGCCAACTTGCAAGATGACGCTTAAGATATTCTCTCCTTGTAGTTCTGGCACTCCTCTAATCTCAACCGAATTGCTTCTAGCATATTGTTCCATATTGTTTAACTTACTTTTGAGTTCATTATTTTCACACCTAAGTTTTTTATTTTTACTTTCAAGCGCTCCAATTTTCTCAAAGCATGCTTCAATTTTGGTTTGTTGTTCCCGCAGTAACGTCGTGTTATCGTCGATCTTCTGATGACAACCATTGAGGGATTTCGCAAGATCTTCCTGATTGCTTTTAATTGACAATATGAGGGAGTATACTTGTTCTAGTGTAACACTCATTGTAACTGCTACTGGATGTTGTGCGGTGAAAGAGGTATCTGGATCTTCACTATCGCTACAGAGGCACGAGTTGCACTTCCACAATCGTACTTCTTTAGACCTTTTGATTTCGTGTAGCTTATCAATAGTTATATTCACGCAGAGTATGTGAAAAGAATTCATACACACAACACAATCGATGCTATCGTCGTATCGGTCAATTTTTAGACAACAGGTATTACAATTTACACCACGAACCACTTTAGATAATTTGTTATCATTAACATTCATTGCCAGTAACTAAATTAACATTAATAAGGTGAATTATTTGCCTGTTTAATAGCATTTAGCCGCGGCGTTTCAAACACGTCTATACCGTTCCAAAGCCAACTACAACTACAAATTGATCCGAATCGTTCTCTACCGACTCCTCTGTGGACTACAGGGCAACACAAATCATGTTGTTTTATCCAATTTTTTAATTAGTTACGCAAAACTCTACATTTACCGTAATGCCATAAGTTAAATGAAATCAAACCGAGTAACACCAAATCTTAGGAATGCCTTCATTATCGCTTTAAAAACTATCATCTTACACAACTATTCGTGGCATTTGGGAAAAAATACATGTGAAGTGATTGTAGATCACTGGTGTATAAATGAGGTGATATGTTACATGGACAAGTTCAATAAACCACAGTTTAAGCTAGAGAGCTAGAAGAGAGTTGAAAGCGAGGTTGAAGGCGAAGGTTGTGACTTGTTTATTTTTATTCTTTTTGTTAAAAGGTCATAAGTGCTGATGATCATATAGTTTTGTAATTTTGTATATATTGTACAGTTGTAATAAAAATAAAAATAATAATAATACATGTAAACAACAGTACTCTCTCAAACACGGTAGGTACACAACATACTTTAATATCTCCACCTCTAACCCAAAGAATCACACAAATACAACTTACCGAACAAACAAGTACAACAAATTATACAACATATAATATACTACAATCAGAGATTCACCTCTGAAGCAAACCAGATTATCACAACTCATTAGTCTTCAACCCAAACGCAAAAACCTAAACAGCACTTTTGACTTACAACATGACACACAACATATTGTAATATGCCCAGTCCACCTTGAACCCAACCAACCACACAAATTCAACTTCCTGAACAAACACCATAAATATAGACCTGAGTTCTCACGAGAAGAAACACCGACCATAATCATCATAATAATATAAATATAAATTTCTTTTTTTTTAAATATGTGTATATACCAGATCAACAACTACAGCTGTTATACATGGCAGTGATAAACATTAACTTATCAAACTTACAAAATATCGACTAGGTTCAATATGACCTCTAGAGTAAATAGGGATACAATTACAATACAATTGCAATAAAATCACTGTATTAATGTCAATCACTTTCACTTAATAGGCCCTGCGGTAGCTTTCTTTTAAGTCTTTTGTGAATATTAGGACTCTCAATTTGTATCAAAAATATTTCTCCGACCTTTTCCATTTTAAAAATAGGTCTCAAAGAAATTTGTGTACCGCGTGAGTTGTTAGCAAGCTTCAAGTTTTAACATTTCAAAACATGTCCGTCTTTGAGGGTATTAACTTCAAACCCTCTAATTTATTTGATTTTATTTTAATTTGTAATTGACGAGCGTGAAAGTCATTTATATCAAAGATTTCACATGACATCACGCAAATCTAGTGGTAGTGGGCTTAAATGTATGGATGGCGTTAAGTGTTTCAGACAACGCCCCAAAGCACCATTAGTGAAAACGCGTTGAGGATGCTATTTAAAATTACACTCTTACGTTGTTTCGAAAAGTTGGGGTTCCACTAGTAAAAGAGTATTTATGTGCATATGCTCACCACTAACTATTACAGTAGAACATTTTTTATGTTAATACGTGACTAAAAACGCAGGAAAACAGCTCATTTGGTTTCCGCATTTGTTAATGTTCTAATTTTGACATTCGTAAGGGTGGATATGTGTTGACGTAACTATATTTAGAAATTTTGGGCAAAACATGTTAAATAGAACTTAACGTTAATTACGTTAAAATCTTTTCGGAGTAAACAGTGTAATTCACTGAAACGTAATACATTCTCTCAAGTTTCACATTAGATCATTGCCTCGCGAACTAATTTACGGAATATGGATAGATCTCATTTATCGCATAATATAGATACATACGCGTTAACAAAAATAAAGGAAGGTTTGATGTCGTATTTAACGTTTATATCATTCATCATTGGACGAACTGTTGGTTTTACTTCGCCAATTTCACTGAAAAGCGAACAAAGAGTTAAATTTCAATTTTCACTACCTTTTGATGTTAGAAAGATATGTATGTAGGTAATAGTTATTCGTGACTGCTCAATATAGGTAATACGAAAGTAACTGAATGCATCGGAAAACATACCGGGGCCGGTGTACTGTGTACACATCCGATTTTTGACGTGTGGTGCCGGTGCGGCACCGCAACGGCAGCCGCAGGATTTGATTCAGTCTGTTGCATTATACATTTTAAAATAGGCCTTACTTCCGATCAAACCGGAAATTCAAATTTGTTAAAAACAATCAAAGCGCAAATACACAATAACACAATATTACTATATCTACCTATACCAAATTTCAATGAGTTGTCCCTTAAAACTCCAGATATATCTATTTGATTCCACACTTTTGCCCATCGCTGTATAAAATATCATATATTTCGATTCTGATGCAGCTTTGTATGCTTTCCGTGTAGTAGAGGCTCACGAAGTCTTAATTTCCGAATATCATTAATCACTTTATAACAGAAACATAAGCGGGAAATCATCTATTCTTTTCAAGGCGAGTAATCATAAGCATCGAATTTCCATCAAGTTCGCTATATATATTAACCTTTGAACTAGAAAAACTCTCCCTTTTGTATAAAAGTCATTAGCTCCCTTAATAGCATCAAGTCGTCCGTCATGAAAATTCTCCAAAATAGCATTCTGTAATGAAATTACAACGGTTCAGGTGTACCAATTAGAAGGATTAGGTAACCAAGAAGCATGGGTAATAAGGAAATATTTATCTGTAAAATTACTTATTTAACTTGTCTATTGCTATTGGATCAGTACTCATCATTGCCACAGAATTTTTATAATTACAGTGGAAACGTAATACAAAATGAGGAACAGCGTGTCTCCCGAGATTGTGACTATTAAGGACACGGAAGCGCAAGTACCTAAAGCTGAATTCTCAATAGATGGTGTTCAATATGCGGCATAAATTAAACATTACAGCGCAGTCTTTTGTCAGAAAGCTCTACTACTTATCTTTATCACTGAAGGTATCAGATTCCTGTTATATTAGCCCATGTGATTCTGATCATTTTAAAATAAGATTCGTTAAAATCGGTTCATAAATAAACCGATACAACGAAAAATTGAAGGATCCTCAGTATTACAATCACTTTTAACGACAGTTTCTCTTAATCTTACAAAATACATTTTATAGTTAACAAACATGCATCAAATTCATGTGCTGGTCATTGAGATGATCTTCGTGGTCTTTTTCCCAACAATCTCAGTGCATAAATAATGATTTTGACATGTTTTGATCAAAATCCATGTGGTCGCCAAAAAGGTGTCAAAGTCATGTCTTGGGCGTTGAGATAATGCTCCTAGTCTTTGTCCTAACGATCTTGGTGCATGCATAACGATTTTGACATGTTTTGATCAAAATCCATGTGGCCTCATAAAAATAATTTAACATCTTTTAATCGCACACATGCGGTTATCAATTGTGCACGTGATGTACACTTTCAGCATCAAAATAATGCGCTTGAAAGATTTTACGGTTCCAAATTCATGTGTAAAGAATAGTTTTGGGTACATTTTGCCCTAAAACTTTTGACCTAGACCACAGAGAAGAGTTATATTGAATTGTGATACATCTAAGAGTCATATGGAATAATCTAGCGAAAGTCCGAACTCGATACATGACCTAGGGAATGAATTATGTTGATTTCTATCATATTGAGCGCGCATTTTTTAGCGCATTTTTGAAAAAAATACGCTATTATATTCGTTATTGCTGGCAGGCCGGCTGTCCGCGTTAGATCTCCACAACTACAATAGCTAGAGACTTCAAATTTTCACTAAAAGCTTCCTGCTATAGTGTAGATGTGCAGGCACTAGTCTGTTTTGAGTTAGATTACTTGTGAGATCGATAATTGAAGAAAATAATTTCGATATGGGTTTCGGAGGTGCTATAATTTTACCGTTAGATAGCGCTACCAGTATAAAAACTTATTATTTACCTTGTGATTTGTTTTACAAAATGAAGTCGTACCGTCAATTGAAATTAAATAAAGTTAATTATTTAACGCAGCCAAAATTACTCGTGAGGTCGATAATTTTAAACTTCGCTAATAAAATACTGACCTGCATTACCAAAAATGCGCTTTAATCATGCATATGCTGATTTACAACTTGTTTCTTCTTCCCGATTCAAAAAGAGTTACAGCGCACACGGACGGACGGACGACAATACAAAACTATAAAGGATCTGAGTATCCTTAATAAAGCAGTGGTGCAAAAAGAAGTTCATGCATGTTATAGGTATAGGCGCTATCGTCACCTCAAGGGCTTAAGCAAACGAATCCGATGGGCAAAGTTCTGTACAATGTGAAACCTTTGGAAACACAGCCGTTGGTCGAGTCGAGTATCATCTAACTAAAACTAAACATTTAAACAGATTAACGCTATTAACTTAATAGCATTTTGTTCGTTTACTAACTCTATCACCGTCACCTTTTCAACCCCAAAATTATACCTCCTACAAACATATCTCAACCGCTGGGTCTACTTTTTCTGTCCGGCTTGTATACACAAATTTATGTGTAAACCTAAATCATTCTCTTGCCTTGAGGGAGTTGAATTATTATTAAAACTGTTCACTTTTCCCCGAAACGGTAGTGAAATTAAGTTTCATAATTATTTTATAATTAACGAAAGCCTCGTTACCGCTATTCATTAAAGAATAACATTAACATAATTAAACTTAATGAGGAATTCTGTATTTTAAGCAATTTCCTAAGCAACCATTTGTCTCAAACTTGAGCTGCGATGTCTTATTATTGGCGAGGAGCTTTAACTACCTATAGACGTAGGTGTTTTGGAATAATTTCCGTGTCGTTCAGCTATGAATAAGTTCATATAATGACCTCGAATTTAGAGATATCTAAATTTAACGTAATTATTTTGGAGATAAAAACAACAATGGAACTTGTTCGGTTTAGGAACCCGTAACACAGAATTAATGCGTTTTAATTATAGCTTCTATACGTATATTTACTATAACAGGAAAAGCAACATAACTTAAAGAATCTTTAGCGAAAAATCATAAAACGCTAATTAAGCTAATTTCCCTCTCATTATCTTTTAGGCTTGAAGTACTAAGATTACACTTTCTGGTGGGTTGTATTTGATTTTGAGCTCTGTTTCGTGGTGCATATCCAATGTATAGGTATATGGAAGCGATTTCTGTTGGGATACTTCTTTAAACGACACAATTTGAATGTAAAGATGATTGTGCCTAAATTGGTAGTGAACTGAATAAGATGTCAAACCAGATTCTTCTTTATTAGCGCAACACTTAATTACGCTCAAGTATAATAAATAAGGTATCATTAATTTAATTTTGTGAAACCCTTTTATTTATTTCATTAAGTTGTATAAATATAACGCAAAATAGGGTAAGACTGTTATGCGCCAATTGGTAAAAATATCCGCACACGCGTGTACATCCAAAACCGCAATAGAAAGAAGCATTAAAAGGATGCATTCTGGATTATGGAAAATGGTTTGAGGTTAAATATTTGTTCCAAAGAAACGTTCAGATTTCTAAAGGGGTAGTTCGAACCATACATAATATAGATTAGATCTTGAGAATCGCAAAATGGTTGCTTTTAAAATTTGTAAGAGCACATTACCATTACATTAGTTATCTATTAAACAGGAGACATAAAATAAGTCAATTACCTCGTCAGATACAATATTTTTGGTAGGTAGCCACAATTAGGAAATATTTATTGCCGTATCTTTTCGAATCTGAGAGACTCCGGATTCTACCTTTAGAATAGTAATTTAAGCGATACAACTACGTGACAATATTCCCACGAAGGAAGTGGAGTGAAAAGTAATCAAACGGGGAGGTATAAGAGAAGGAATCAAGGAACAACCTTAATATTAACTAAAGAATTTTCATTCTGTTTTATAATTATGTAAATAACATTCACTCATCTTTTAGATTTACTGATTGACATTAATTGGAGAAGTATGAAAAGTTTGCTCAAACAATTTACAAGAGAAAGGCAAAACGATTGCCCATTTCGAATCTGAAGGCACAAATAAGTATCTTAAATAATGTTTGTTGAAAAAGGAACTCCACGAATTCTAATTACAAAGCTTTGATGATATTAATACCCTCTTGTAATGTTCATTACGTTGTTCGCATACTTCCGCTACATCGAAACTTTCCTTTATGTTCGAAAAAGATTGACAACTCTCTTTAAAAGGAAGTTCTAAACAATCCTTTACACTCATCACACACTATTCAACTTTCAAGTTTTAGCAACCGTACAATCCTCGATAATTACTCTGATTACCGAACATAAGACTTAAATAGACTCTCTGTAGTTATCGTTCACTATGTAATGTAGATATTTCTCTTTTTCCCGCTAACTTTGGTGGTGGTGCTGTATTGTTTGGACGCTCCTTTCATGGATCAGCTCTTTTATCAGGCACGTTGAGAACCTACCAGCGAGCTGGGTGCGACGATGACTTCGTTATTCTAAGATGTCCACCTGGAACGAGTATATCAATACAACTAGCACAGTATGGTACGTCTACTCTAACCAAAGATCTCTGTCGGCCAAAGTCAACACAAAGCTCATTCTCAAGAAATTCCACGAATACATCTTGCCTATGGCCCAACGCCTTACAGGTTAGCAGCTCGATGTATTTTAAATGTATTTAACTTCAATTTGCATTTGCAAGTTCAACTGTAAATAACGTTTATAGTTTTTTACATAACATCACAGTGATTTTGTATCATTTATTTCCCACTTATGATTAACTAATCCAGTTTACTGAATATTAATATTGCTATAGTAATAAAATTAATAGACAATAAAAACCGTCAGAATATGTATGTATTTAATTTAAAAAGATCTTGTCTTAGTCAATTTGTTCTTCGACCCTGACAATATCACATGATACGTTATCAATCAGGTAAGCAAGTCATTAACATTGGTTCTTCGAGAAAACGAACCGCATTTGGATTGTTGCATTGTACCTTTAAGAAGAGGAACTGTACGTGATTTTTACATCGACACGTGAGTAGTCATATGGGTAATCCTCAAGGGAGAAAAGACACGTGAACGACATTGATCCCTCAAACAAGGCATCAAGAAGTTCACAGAATAACCAAGATGTCAAAAGCAGTAACTTTTCCAAGACGATGTGAACGGGTGACAGCCATGGGTAAACATAATATTAAACAACGACATGGCAGCCTTCCTGACAAGCAAGAAGAGATTCAGATTTTTCATGCCAATGAAGATAACTCAATTGTGAAGGTCAAGAGAAGCGTCCAGTAACTGTTTCATAAGAGAAGAACTCAAGATTGACGCAGATATAAAGAAGCGAAGACTGGCTGAAGAGATTGTTGATGTAGAATTAGCGGCCTCCAAGCTAGAACAGGAAGAGGTCCACGGGAATTGTGAATCAGTAGACAGTGGGTCAGAGAGTAAGAGGTCATTTGTACAAAAATGGGTAAATGCTCATAAATATGATCCACCTACAAAGGACATATCATTTAGGGTAGGATCTAGATATAATATGCCACCAAACCAAATCACCAAATACTTAGAAACCAACCATCTCTTACATGCCCACCAGTACGGTTTCCGAAAAGGAAAAAGCACTTCAGACGCGATCATCAACCTTACTACTAAAATTCTAAATAGTTACGAGAAGAGCCAGTACGCAATCGTGTCTTTTGTAGACTTCTCTAAAGCATTCGATTGTGTTGTGCATAACATTATTATTAGAAAGCTGAGATTGATTTATAAATTTAGTGGTGCAAGTGCAAAGTTAATCTCATCGTACTTAACAAACAGGCTGCAGTGCGTTCGGTTCAACAATGAGACATCTGAACAATTACAAATAACCAGTGGGGTCCCGCAAGGGTCAATTTTGGGCCCACTGATATTTTTATTATATATTAACGATTTACCGACCATACTTCCTAGTACCGTCAGCTGTATACTGTATGCAGATGATGTTACGCTAATTTCAGCAGACTCTTCTTATCATGTGGCTTATGACAACGTGGTACACGGATTATTAGCTATTAAAAATTGGTGTGCGGTAAATAAACTCGGACTCAATGAGAACAAAACAATAACACTTCCTTTTTCATTAAAACGTGACGCCAATGTGACTGTAAAGTTCACGAAGTTTCTGGGGTGTATGCTGGACTCTCATTTAAACTTTCATGAACATTGCGATTTCGTAAGGGCCAAGTGCAACAAGTCAATTTATGTGTTACGTAGATTAAGTCAAACTGTTTCCCAACAGGTAACAGTGTCCGCATATTATGCTTTAGTACATAGTATCATAAGCTACAGCATATTAGCCTGGGGACATAGTGCATCGGCCTGCACCATATTCAAACTATAACGTAGAGCAGTTCGCGTAGTAGCTGGTCTAGGATACAGGCAAGACTGTCGGCAAGTCTTCATTAAATTACAAATATTGACGCTCCCCTCCGTATACATATTACAAGCTTTGTGCTACGCAAGAGATAGCGTTGACAGTCTCAAATGGAATGGCCAACAACACACGCACAACACCCGTAATAAGGATAATTTAACTATCCAATACTGCCGGCTGACAACGTCCCAGAACGGATGTGAATACCAAGCGAAGACATTATATAATTCGTTGCCTGTAAATGTTAGATGCCTCCCCGCAAAACTATTTAAAGACTGTATAAAGAAATATCTTCTGTCAAAGGCCTTTTACACCTTTGAGGAATTCTGTTCGTCGGTAAAAGCGTTAAGTTTATAACTTCTTATGACCTGTGATATAATATAATCGTTTTTGTCTTGTGTTATAGTTATGTAGGAAAGTTAGGGTAAATGACAAGTGTAAATGCAGATACTGCGTAATGGCACATATTAAATATTATTATTATTATTATTATTATTATGCCTAACCAACAAATAAAATCTCATGTACCAGTCCAGTTGTCAACATTCGTAACCAGACAGGAAATCCCAAAAGTGTTGCCAATATTCAATGGTGACTCCACAGAGTGTCCCAATTTTATATTTCAGTATGAACATTGGACAGCTACGATTATTTGTGGTTACATCTCGGGTTACACAAGAGAGAAGAGAATCAATATACATTACAAAAAAATACCTGACAGGTAATGCTAGGAAGATTCTTATAGTGGAGCGAAATGGGGCAAAAAAGTCGTCTAGAAATGGGAAAAAAAATTTTGACGGTATAACAAGATCAGACCTAGTAGAGTATGTAGATATTGTAATTCTGCATCCGAAATGGTAGTTTACGACATTTTCCGGTGGTCATGACACTTTTTATAGTCAAAAAACCACTCAAAATTGCTTTAATTAAAATGTATGTTTTTAGAGATTTATACCGGGATATCTCGGCTCCCGCACGAGATATTGTTATAATATTGTTTCTGTTCTATAATGCCAAATAGTAAGCGCTTCAAACTATGCCTATTATATTGAAAACATGATATAACTACATTATCATAATCGTAATCAAAGTCAATAAATCGATGATTGAGCAGCGTAAACTTCACTCTGCGAGAAACTTTTTTATTATTTGAGGAATCTCAATAGATGTTCGCACGAATTGTAGCTGATAGCCAGCAAAAGTTTTTGGTGAAAGAATTTTAGTGATAGGTCTTACGGTTTTCGAGTAAATGATATTTTTATATGCAGCCCGATTTCGGTATATTTAATCCAAACAAGCCTTAAATTGGATTGCAAAGTTTAGTGACTAATGAAATGAAAACATTGAGAATTGAAAATGATAAGAATATCGAAAGTGTAATTGTCATATTTTGTAACCCAATTGACGATACTTTCCAGTTCAAAACCAAATTCCACAAACTTGAAAAGGATCTGTTGGAAAATATAAGAAAACCGACGAAAAGGGAGTGTCAGTTTTTGATCCACTGGGATTTATCACAAACATCTTGATTCCATTTAAGATGCTGATACAATACAGGATGTTTGGAGGAACCAGTTATGTTGGCCGTTGGGACGACGAAATTACAGATAACTTGGCAAATAAATGGAACATATGGATTGTGGACTTGAAGAAAACATATAATTTCAAGATACCACGCCAATATTTCACATTAGATAGGAGCTCACTTAATCTGCAGTTGCATATATTCTGCGATGCTTCAGAAAAGTGCTATGCTTAAGTAGCTTATCAGCGAATACAATATGGAAATAAAGTACAGATCAGTTTTGTAAATGCCAAAGCTCTCCTTTAAAATCTATGTCAATACCAAGATTGGAACTTCAAGCAGCATTAATAGGTGCACGCGTAAGTAACTATCTAATGAAGAATTTAAACTTGAATATTTCATCCACGATATATTGCACTTTGCACTGATTCAAAAACTGATCTCCATTGGATTCGATCGGAAGCTGGGCGTTTTAAAGTATTTGTAGCCCGAAGACTTGGTGAAATTCAAGAATTGACAGATGCAAATGAGTGGAAGTATGTTAGATCTTCAGACAATGTTGCAGAAGAAGCCGCCAAATATGTTATGAACTCCTCAGTATCAGGAGATTTCAGGTAGATATCTGGGCCAAAATTTCTCTATTAAATCACCAGGAATGACCAAGAGAAACCGAAAATGATTTGAAAACTGATTCGAACATTTTAGAAAGGAAAAGACTCGACTATATTTGCAGCAACCTTTCAGTAAAAGATTTGATACCTAATACTCCTAAGCGTGAGAGATTTTCAAAATTTATTTATTTATTTATTTATTTAATCAATTTGAGTTGCAAACAGGACAAACCTAATATAGCAACTAAGTATAGGGTGTCCCATTAATAATGGTCACAGGCCATATCTATGGAACCGTTGATTGCAGTTTCGGGAAAAAAATTTTGATAACAAAAGAGGAAATTATTTTCAAGTTTCTAGCTTCGCCGCTAGATGGCGTATAATTCATGGTTAAGTAGAAAAATGACTTTTTTCTAAAATATACCCAACAAACATGCATAAAAAAGACATGCATAGCAATCTTGTATCAATTCTGCATCATTTTGATGCAGCACATATGGCTCTAGCTCATAAAATATGAGGGGTGGGGGAAGGGGAACATCTCTTTAAGGAATTGAATGTAACTTCAGTTTAGGGTAACAGATTTTCACATAATAGGTCTTGTTGGAAAGAGCTCTCTTCGTGGAATCATATTTTATATGAATAGAACCTTTTTAGTGAATGTGATGAGTGGTAGAGGGCGCGATGTGACATTAACACAAACTTTGCAGGTTTTTTTGAAAATTTCAAATGGAACGATATAATTATTATATGTATATAGCTGGCCCGACGGACGTCTTAGCTATGAATATCTATTCAATTCGGACTGGAATAAATAATAAAAAATAAACGCACTCACTTCTATAGTTGCTTTTGGAGATTCAGAACGAGCAACGTACCTTTTTTTTGCGCCAAATGCCGTAATTTGAAAGCAATTATTGTATTTCAGGATATGAGTAAAAAAATGTATAGAATCTGGCCCATTCCCGGAAACCAAGGAATGTAGTGGCTCTGGTGGCCGTACCAATGGCATCAATTTCACTTGGCCAATGGCGCAACATAATCCAGGGGCTTCAGTAGCCTTGCAATGCGAACACACAAAGTTCTTTGGTCTAATAGCAACGATTTAATGTAAACTATAATCGATTGCTACGTTATAATTAAATGCAGCTCGATAGGGATTAAAGGGGACATTTCTGCGTTGTTCATATCGATTCCATTAACTTTGTTTCGCGCTTCGCTTTGCTCGCCAGTTTGACTTACTCGTATACCGGGTGGTGCACGGTAAATAGGAACATGGGGATTTAACATGGGAAATTAGTTGTATGCAATATCCTGCTCTCCTATACATTTTACAGAAAAAACTGTAGAGTTTAAAGTTGTTCAGAATTAAAAGGTGCATACAAAACTGTTTTTACATGTTTTTATTAAGCTTTTGGTATACCCGCAAATTTAAAAAAAAAATTACATTTCCGTTATTAGTAGCAATTCATAAAACAACAAAAGTCATGGTTATTTTAAAATTTGCGCGTATACCAAAAGCTATCTAAAACATGTAAAAACAGTTTTGCATGCCCCTTTTAATTCTGAACAACTGTAAACTCTTACTCTTACTTACCGAGTACCACCCGGTATATGTTTGACTTGTAGGATTACGAATTCTGCCACCTAAGTTGGTACCATATGCTGATACATCTCATAAGTAGGATTTAAAAAAAACTAAAATTCAACTGAAAATAGAAATTGTCTCCCTTAGTGTTTCTGTATACCTAACTATGTATACCACGCGTTTAGTCTATCAACACTTACCAAAAATGGATGTTAGGTGTATCAAACTTTTAATATAAAAGGCGCGATTGCGGTGAAATAACTTCGAAACTTCTTAAAAAACTCACTGAAATCTGGATAAACGATCCGATCGAATTGACAGCACACTATGATATGAATAAATTAATTTTTTGACGGATATATTATGCCGATCCATTGCCGATCGATGTAGCTGTTAAAACAATTGCCGTCGCACCGTCAAACGCGCGATGTTTAAATAGTCGATAAGTTTTCTCCAATTTTCCAATTTTCTGCGCGATTTTCTTAGTTTTTCTTGCCGTAAGAACCTTCTACACAGTATTAGAAAACTTAAAAAAAAAGATGAATGGAATCGGTCAAGTCGTTCTAAAGTTATTGCGTGACCAGAAGAAACAGGGGTTCATTTTTATATATAAAGATTACCAAATAAAATGAAAAAGTGGTAATATCAATAAAAACCGCATTTTGAAACCTGTTTTCTAAACAACAAAAACATTCACAAATTTTAATTATTGCATTCAATTCCTTAACGAGATGTTCCTCTTCCCACACACCTCATATTTTATGAGCTAGAGCAATATGTGCTGCATCAAAATGATGCAAAATTGATACAAGATTGCTATGCATGTATTTTTATGCATGTTTGTTGGATATATTTTAGGAAAAAAGTCATTTTTCTACTTAACCCTGAATCGTACGCCCTCTTGCGGCGAAGCTAGAAACTTGAAAATAATTTCCAGCGATTTCTCTTGGCTGCTTTTGTTAACAAAATTTTTTTCCCGAAGCTTGCCAATTAAGGGTTCCATAGATATGGTCTGTGACCATTATTAATGGGACACCCTGTACATCGTATTGAAAAAAATATATATATATATCAATAGTAAATGTGACATTCCACAAACATAATCAAAATAAAAGCTTAAACAACATTAACAGAATAAATTGAATTAACTTTAAACACATAAGTAATAAATTAGTATGCAGGAAACAAATGATGTGCTACTTAAATTCGGCAAACAATAGAGGCAACCAAAATGTAATTACGTAGTATGAAATAAAATTAAGATACAGTAAAATAAATGTGTATGGCATGATAGTAAATGCGACGTGACATGTAGAAAAGGAAAAAGGATAAATAACAAAGTTAATAAACCGAATTAAGAGATGGATAAGACTTCTTAAAGCTACAGTCTACATCATTCGAGTAAGAAACATACTACGAGCGAAAGTTTTCATCCAGAATGAAACGATCGTTGATGAATTGTATGAAACCAATACAAGATGTTGAACCATTGTCATTGTCATGTACGTTCAGAGAAGAGGACAAGTTGATGAGGCTATATGGACGATTGAATAGTGCTTCATCTTTGAATTTCGATACGAAACATCCGATAATATTGGACTCGAAACACAGAATAACTAAACTGATAATTCAACATTATCATGAAAATGCATACCTATCATTTCGATCAAGCAATAGTACTCGACAAATTACGATGTGAATTTTGGATTTTACGCATGAGATAAGCAGGAATTATTGTTTTCAATAATTGTTATAGTCTGTCTAAAATTGACGCGAAGTAATAAATATAGTTGATAGACAGAGACAGAGAAGCACTTCCATACAAAAATACTATTTCTATTTCACCAATTTATAATTTATTACTTCGCGTCAATTTTAGACAGACTATAGCACTGTAGCAATAGGCGAGCCAGTCCCATGACTATTATGGGACAATTACCGTTGTGCAGAATAGTACGAAAAATCAGACCATGTATAAAATGTGTAGTGGATTATTTTGGACCTTTTGAAGTACCTACCAGTGAAGAGAAGCATAGTGAACAGGTATGGAGTTATTTTCACTTGTTTAGTAATCAGAGCAATTACTTTACTCGTCAAAAATTAACGCCACTTGCTTTGGACTATATGTCACTGAGTAATTGTATATGGAGCAAAAAACTAAAGGAAACCAAGAAATTGATATGGAGAAAATCCCTTGGCAACCAACTTGTGATTTTTCGTCTCGTATCTATTTTGCCTAAGGACCAAATTGATCGTAAGATATATCGCCATTTGATGTTTGACTACCACGCTGGAATCGATTGCATTACACGCTGAAATTAAAATTTAGACTAGAAATTAGTACTCTACTGTTTAATGTAGATTTATTTAATTAAAATGTTACACTATTTATTGCAGAGTAAATGGGAGGAAGTTGCCCAAGGAACATGGGGGAGCGTAAGTGAACATTTCGTCTTCATCATTTTGATTATTTCATGCTTCGCAACGTTATCAGATGACACTTTTGAATAATTTACGTTACATTTTAATTGCATTTTTTTAGCATGTTATTGTTTATAAAATGTTATGACACATCGTGGAGCAATGCAGTTTACTTATGTATATATTTTATTGTACCAAGAGTTGCAAACAACCTTGACTGACAGTACCTAGTATTCGCTGTTACAGACAGTCGTGGAGGTTTGTCAAAAGAAGCGACAATGCAAGTTTAAGTCTTCGCCGAAAACATTTGGTGGAAATCCGTGCCCGGGTGTTCGTAAATATGTGGAAGTTGCCTATAAGTGCAGGCCATGTAATATAGTATCCGTCAGTGTTTTGTACATCATTGACATTTTCAGACGAATTTCGAAGCAAGGTGGCATGCCAAAACGAAGGAATACAACTAACTTGTAATCCGAATTCGAGAATTGCGATTTATAGCGCCAGTTATGGAAGAACAGAGTATGAAAGCATACAATGTCCTCAACCGCAGGGAGTCCCGGAAGAAAGTAGGATTTGGATACTAGAGAAAAGAATTAATACTTCTGTTGTAGCTTGTTTGGTCAGTTATGGTACCGAGACGGTGATGAAACTCTGCCATGGGAAAAGAACTTGTGACGTTTTGGCAGACATTAAAACGTTCGGCAGCCCGTGCCGCCCAGAATCGCGGATGTACCTAAAAGTTATTTACACCTGCGGTAAGCTACTACTGTAAATCATTTTAACAATGCTTAAATTTTTCTAATAGTCCCACGAAAGGTGTTAAAGGAGCAGTTCGAAGGCCAACCTGAACCGGATGAGCTGAATAACGAAATGGAAAATTCAGATACCGACGACGATTTTGAAAATTATGATGCGGGGGACGAGTTTATAAGAGAGTCGGCGGCGTCTCCTTCTTCACCTAATATCGGAGGACCCACTTCAGGAGATAATGCTACCAGAGATTCAGCAGATAACATTAGAAATCCACCTCTTATAACACAAAAAGAACAGGATACAGGTAATATAATGTATAGCTAAGGAATGCTGCATGCTGTTCGGGTTTGTGTAATGTGTTGCTATAGTTTGATCAATTGCAGTTTTCATATCCAATCCAATTCATATTTAGATAGAAAAAATAGATTAACGGTTTACAGGGCCGGCAATCGTCACAATTACTTTCAAAACGTAGTTCCTTTACCTACAAAAAAATTTACGAACGCAGTTCACGTTACAAAATAATAAGGATTGACTATTTTCATAATAACTCTGTAAGTAATCAAACTATTTTCTTCATTGTCGAATAGTACATGAACTAGGTATTAAATTCCAACTGCATCTTCCTTTGGGTATGCTGCAGGGTATGCTGGATTATGTTAGAACTGCAGTAGCATACAAAACCAAAAACAAAGGAATACCTACAACATATTTTGAAACAGAAAAAATGTAATACTCTTTTATTTCATTTGATTTTAAACTAACTACTACATCAAGCAGTGCTTTGCAGAAGAATGCAACTTTGAACTGGGAGTACTGGGACAGAGGAGGATAAATATGTATTATATTTCAAGATTTATTGTTAAAAAGATATTTGTTTATTAAGGATTCATTTTTGAAAGATCTGAAGAGTCTCTCAACTTAGTTTTCTTTTTAGGTATATTTTCTATCATTGCTTAAGTCATGTTAGAACGTCTAGAGGATTCCAAATATTGGAATTTGAAAAGGGTGGCTGTTTCGATTTCATCTACTTCTAGCGGCCGAAAATATTCAAAATGCTGCGGTGTCGGTGTCGACGAAAACAAACGCGAGTCGTGTCATGACAGTATCGCATAAAAAAGAAGACTGAAGCGTATTCACTACTCGTACTTGTACCACAACACAGGGCACAGAAATACGACGTAGCGTATCTTTATTCTGTGCTTGTTTATTATTATTATTATGGTCGGTGTTTCTTGTGAGAACTCAGGTCTAGCCTGGTTAACTAATCGCACGGATTAAAAATCAAGTAACGATTAGTGTCTGTGTCTGGTGAAGTTATGTAGGGTTCTAAAGAAAAAAAATAAATAAAATAAATATTCACACACTCACATTGGAAATCTAGGGATAGTATGTAATTCATACTTACCAACATAGCTATTAATGGCCACAATAGTCAACGCTATCAGGAAAGAAGAAAACAAAACAAAAATATCATTTATAATAATTCCTGTAATTTTATTAAATAGAGTTTATTGTGTAAGTGTTTCTTTGGCTTTGCGTTTGGGTTGAATACGAGTGGGTTGTGATAACGTGGTGTGTTTCTGTGAAGAAGGAGTTTTGCGTTTTTTAA